TCGGCTGTGCCAAGAGAACGCATATTTTTCCCTTTAGGTTTGTATTTACTACTACCACCTTTTTTATTGACATGTTCCGAGAATAGGTAGAAAATGACGATTGGAACGAGCCGCCAATCCCGCTGTAAACCGGAGCATATTTAACCATACCGTGAGCCATGTCGTTTACAATTATGTTTATGTTGTGATCCATAGAATAAATACAAACAATTTGGGATTTTCCCACTGCGCGCTCGCTAGAAAAAAGGGATGAAAAGGGTGAGACGCGCAACCGCGTCTCACTGCCGTCAATGTGTTAACGTGTGAATGGCGATGAGCTTTGGTAAACATACCACAGAAATTGAGCTAGGGTAAAATGACTCAACGGTAATATGAGTGATAGCCCAGCTAGCTAGTGAACAAGATTCGGGTCCAAGTCTCGCTTGGAGCCAGATTTCTGCTCATTATTCAAACATTCTTGTGGAACACAAAGTACACTTAACTTTAAAATGCGTTCATTATGCTTTAAAAAAGCATGTACCGGTTTTGTATAATATGGCACTGATAACAAGTCGACAACTGGCCAAAGAACAATTGAAAAACCTAACATTAAACGATTGTACAGAAATACAGACACATAGCAGAATAATGACAATGACTAGTCTCCACAAAAGGGAGGAGTTAACCAGTTTGCAGCTTGAGATCCATAAGTTCCCGTGGATTAGGCGGCGGTAATATGCACTGGGCATACAAGCTTCTGAAAAAATAGTAATCACTAATCAGCCAATCCTATTTATATCAAAGTTACCTATATTTGATCCTAATCAATTTTTTTATTAGGGATGGTCATTTTCTCAAACAAATGAGAAGGACCTATGCTACGTGACTTTTTCCCCTATCTTATGTGGGCGTAATCCTTGAGTTAGTGTCACGGTACGAAAAATCGATATATCGATCTAATGTGTAGCAGATTGAAAAACGTTTCCCCATCGAATGTTCATGCTTTAAAATGGTAACGAGATGATACTGCAAGGAACGTAATATTTAACTAAGCGGTCGTCTAGTCAATATCATCTGCTCGCAACCGCACGCGTCCGGTCCTGGTTGTCGCCGCAAAACCCATCATGAAAAAAGACATTCAGTTTCTTATGACTTAGCAGCACGGGCAGTGCAGAATCGAGATCGGAAGGGAGGGTATTTTTACCAAAGTCCTTTTGAATTTTAGATGCTGGGGAGCGAATATTACTAACCTTAGCATCAGAAATGTACTGATTGGTATGAGTTTGTTCATGTTCGGGTAAAACACCGATCTTGTACTTCTCGGCCAGAATACGTGCAGCGATTGAATGTCCGACACTTTCAAATACGTCCGTCGCATCACAACCGCTCTGAATCAAAAAATTAAAATTGTGAAAGGAGCAAGGAAAGTTTTTTTTCTCTAAACGTATATCAACGATTTTTTAAGGGCAGTATGAGCTGCGCACGTTTTCGTCAAGTCGTAGAGTGTGTTTGAATACATCCCAGGACATAATTCTTGGATTCGTGGAAGTGCGGGACCTCGTAATTCGTAGAACTTGAACTTCCATTGTTATGTAGCCGATAAATATTTAGTTCAGGAACCTGAAGAGTCAGGCACTGAAGTGCTCAGAAATGCCTCAAAGCAGAGTGCCACTACTAGCGGGAATGTGACAGCAAGCGGTCTACCGGCTCACAGCGCGGTGTTCATTGGCTGTCCCTAGAAGACCGCAACAGATCGCCCCGCCCAGAGCTTACAAAGTTATCAGCGTTTTAGGTTTTTTCTGGCTTTCCCTTCACGGCCAAAAGCGTAGCATTTTTTTTTTTTTTGACCGTTCCCAGGCAAAATTTGCCTAAAATGTTAGGGTAATTGTTCGCAACTGGTTCGTGGTTCTTGGATTGCAAGCTTAAATTACCGTCTACTCAGGAGCAATCCTCGAGTGAGTTGGGGAGTTTTGTTGGTTCATGATACCGTTATGCTCTACAGCACCTCCCAACTAGTTTTGCCCTCTTGCTTATGCAAATGCTTTCAGTTACTCACATATTCAAGAAGGACCTCCCATCCTCCTGGATGTTCCTGAAGAAAATTTGTGACGTCAATGACGTCGTTACGAATGATCATCCAAGCATCATCAGGTGTACAGTGCAATGAGACTTCACATCGTGGAATTTCTCGACAAGACATATCTGGAATGAAACTGCACTGAAACAGGCGTACACTATATTGGAGAGTAATTTGAAGAGCAGCCGAGGATACGGTAAATCCGGGTACGGTAATCATGCGATAGATAACGGATAGCGTGAATATTAATGGATCCAAACAAGGGCGAATAAAGGGCACTACTTAGATGGGAAGCATTCAGCACTCAACGGTTCAGAGTGTTCTCACAGCCAGCGGAGATAAGATAAGGAGCTGGCAGTGAGGACATCGATTCTACAGCGCACGAAGACCCGTGCAGCTTTTCAGGAAAGGTCAGTCGGCATTCAGTTGATGAAATGAGCACAAAAAGGAAACGACGAGTTATCGCTGCATGTGGAGGTTTTATTGAGCGGTTACGCCGTGGGCGTCAGTACTTCGCACCATAGAAACTCGTTCCAGGAAGTGGGGCGTTTTAAGCACGTGGCCCAGGATTCGTCAGGTGCATTCTGTGCACCTGATAGTTCAGGTGATCTCCACAGGAAGGTCGATTTCTCATGGAAACAAATCGTGGTGAAGTTACGGTAGCAGTAGAACTGGAAGTCATCGATACCGTTCACAGGCTTACGTCACAGTTCTGGACGCGGAACGATTGCGATGCTTCAGTAACCGCATGCTGTTGGGGTACATTGCGGTGCGAGCGTCCCCGTCAAGCTTTTATACTGCAAAATGAAAGACTGTAGACGCAGTCGTAAATAGTAGAAGAAGTGGCGAAAATCGGTTAGAGACGCAGAGCAAAAGACAGTCGACAAAAGAACGCAGCTCATCACCTGTGTACCGGAGAACGCAGCCGTATGCCGAGGCCACTTGCACCCAAGCCGTGACGGAAAGCTTTTAATGAAGTAAAATTTGTGAATTTTCCCAAAGCAAACGGTGGCCGCGTGTTGGCCTTGGGGCTCAAGTTGGCCATGGGGCTGATTTGTGTAGATTTTAATATTGTTGCAGATTGAAGGGTTGTTGTAACGCGCTGTTCACGTGAATTCAATCAAGGATGCATACAGTGCGATGGTGGTGGTGCTGGTGGTGGTGTGGGTGATTGATTAGGACGATTAATGAATGGCGACAGTGTCTGCTGCTGAGCGCCACGAACTTCGCATATCAACTAACATTTCAACGCGCTCTACCACCTATACCATTTGTAGACTGGATAAAGATCACATGACCTTTACTTTAAAAACAAATACATACCACAAACAAATTCACGTGTTTCAGTTGGTTCTGATTTGACCACGATCAGAGAGCATTTAGAAACTTGAAATAAAATTTGATTAGAAAAGTCGGAAGGCAGAACGTACCTTCTTCTCTTCTGACCTCTGTTTCTCTGCGCACCTTGTCAGACTCACTTTGAAAGGGACTTTAGGCTTAGCTTTATGCAGCGAAAAAACATTGAAACATCACTGACATGGTCAGGGACGAGCCATGCAATTCTGTTGTTTCTGATACTGTTGATGTGATTGAAAGGGTTCTATGATTTCTAAAACAGCTATACCTGAATTATCAAATACTGTAAGTGTAAGGTCAGCTGTCAGCTTATAATAGATAAATGTAGAACAACGGAGAGATTAAGCTCTAACTCCGGGTAAAACCTTTTGAGCTAAAGGTGCCAGAAAATGTGCAGCGCCAACAGATCTATTTATGACGCGCCTAGCATTAGTCTCCTATTTACAATTGAGGGGGGGGGGGTATTAGGAGGATCCATTTGCACAACAAATCATACAATGTTCTCTTCAGTGTGCTTCTTTTGCATGTGAACCCAGACTGTGTGACCTGCCATGACAAATGAATATAGGGGAAGAGGAGGGGAGCGGAGAGCGAGGAGAGGAAGCCCAGTTCTGACCTCTTCCCCGGTGCTCAAGTGAGACGTGGCACGGCTAATTCTTCACTACCAGTGCCCAACACGCAACCTATGAATTTCAGCCGTCGGATAGCATCCTCCGCGGTAAATTTGTAAGAGATTCCGACCCCTTTATCTCACCGTTCCCAAGATCTATTTCAAGGAAGAATAGACGCAATCCCCTTGGGGTGAGTGCAAAGTTTTAGGTTTACCGAGTAGCGCAACTTTATATGACTTGAGAGGCCCAGAAAGTGTAACTAACGTCCAACCAGGTACGATTCCTCATTTCTATTACCCGTGGTCAAATAAACTGCGACAGATGGAATTGGAGATATGTTTAAGAGGAATGCACTCTTATTAACAAAGACGTATCACACAGATGGTTGCCTTATACCTGTACGGTTTTCATAGGAAAGGCCCGAAAGTGAGCTGGGCAGGGCAAATCGCAGGTGAGATTTATCAACGTCATTTGCTATTTATTTGTTTGCGGTTCGGGCGGGTTATGTGAGAGAAACACTCCAATTGATGGGGAAACCGCTTGGGGGAAGCCCTATGCTCGAATTGAAGGCAAGGCCGTTTTAAAAGCCGGTTCACTGTCACGCTGGCGCCAATTTCCCCCATGGGAAGCTTTGAGTATCATCAGCATCAGCATCAAGAGCAAGACCATCTTCCATTTGCCAAACTCTTACAAATAATTACAATTATTGCTAGGTAGTTCTGTTGGTCTGCAACTGGAGGCACCCGGAGTTTTCTGCATAGGTCTTGGGAGAGTTATTAAGGCAATTTTGCGGGTAGATTAGAGTGCAAATGTTTTTTAGTTCTAAATAGTTCTACTCAATATATAGGTGCTGCAGATACACAAGACATTGGGCTTGTGCTTTAAGGTGAACTTGCCCTCTCGGGCGCGCTATAAAAGAGGACTTAACAACACGCTGGTGATACTCCGTCCCGCTGCCGTGGTGCAGTGTACAAAAGATTCTTTTGCGCGAAGTACAGTTTCCAAAATTTTCTACAACCCGCCAACTAGGGAGGGGGGGGGGATTTGGAATTTCTGTTTGCCTAGCTCATGCATTACCACATAGTAACGTTTCTGGCCAAGTTCCGCTTGAAGCAGTTTTCTTGATGAAGGTGGCTATGGGTTTTTTGTTAATAATGACAGATATCTGATTGAAGAGGTGCCGAAAACGACCCAACGCGACCTAAAGAGCCGCAACAACATTGGAATTGCCGGGCCGCTTTTGTACTACGCAGAGGAGATTGCGAAAGGAAAGGCACAGCCATTGATGTTTTCTGCTAATTTTTGTCTGAAAAAAATACTGCCATCAATAACTATAACGTGATCATGATCGGTGCCAAAACGAGCTAGTTCGGTCTGCACGTCACGCTGCACAACATGTCGCTCTTAAAGTAGAAGTAGAGTAAGTGCAGTAGGGTAAGGACAGAGTGATGAAAGCTTGAGGGCCATAGGTCACTGCGGCAAACTCGTCCCGACGTAATCAGCGCACCTCGAGTTTCTGTTTTGTCCTCAATTTGTCTCTGGTTTGGCGTCATGACAGAACTCTACTTCAAATTTCCGAGCTATTCACTGCTAAACCCAAATTTTTGCAGAGCTTTATTCGCCCACCATTCTCACTGCCTATGAAATCATCATGTGCATCACGTCATCTAGAGCTTAGGATTTGTGCACCAGGAAATGTATGTAGGGTGAACATAAGCATCCGACTGCCTTCATCCGTGCCTTTCATGTTTTACCAATAGTAGCCCTCGCCAAGTGTAATGATATGGTAGCACCTGGAACTCGGTACCGACAACCTTCGAAGAAAATGCATGTAAGATGGCACTGGTGTTGGAAGAATGGTGTAGACTTAAAAGGGTTGCAGTGGAAACGGAATATGCCTTGAAGAAATGGTATGTACTCGGCGATTAATGAGCCTACTGAAGCAGCGAAACTCATCCAATTTTTTGATTCCCCGAATTTTCTATTATAGAAAATATGCATCGCCCATTTTGCCTACATAATGCGATACCTTTTCAAAAGTCAAACACATTTGTGATCCTCCTAATGAGTATTGCACTAACGACGACGAATTGACCTTGGCTGAAACCACCGTTATGTGAGTCCATTTTGAATCCAGTATTCGTAATCAAGCGTCGTTTTTTCTCTGTGCCGTGCTTGCATTCTAGACCTCGAATTCTATTAAGGGTCACGCGTTACTATCCGCTTCATGAGAGCGCGAAATACTGCTTGAACTTATGGTTAGTGTGCTTCTCCCACCTGCCGAATGGTTTGTGAATGATAATCTCAACTTCGACCAGGAATTTAAATCGTTTTGCAACGTTGCGACGCGTTTCCGAACACAAACAAGGAAGGTCTTTCAGGGTGTGCCAAGCTTTTTCAAAACGGTCTTTTGCATGATATAGAGGCACATGCGGGAACCACAGAACCATGGTTAATTTTTCCTGAACGGCCCTCTGAATACCAGAAAAGGGGGTCCCTAGTCACACCTTTTTCACCAGTTTTTCAATCAAAGTCTATTTGTAAGGGTTACTGACGTTCCTAATCATGAATTTGGTACTAATTATTCATGCTAACTCCATTTTGCGCGAATTTTGAAACGTCAACTCGAAATGCAAAAATTTGTCACCACGAGGAATCGAACTAGGGACCCCTTTTCTATTCAGAGGGCCGTTCAGGAAAAATGAACCATGGTTCTGTGGTTCCCGCATGTGCCCCAATGTCATGCAAGAAACCATTTTGAAAAAGCTTGGCACACCCTGAACGACCTCCCTTGTAAGATAATTTGTTAGAAGTGCTGTAAAACGTTATGAAGTAGTTCCTGGTTCTGGCAAACAACCATCCATTGCAGTAGGGCTGTTGTTTTAATGATCACTTCCTTTATTGACTGTTGTGTTTCTGTTTTTCTTCGCTCAAGGTCAAAGAAGGCAGTTCAAAGTTGACAAATGGCCTGCGCTAATACTGCAGTTCCAGTTCCAGACTGTTAATTAGAGTCTTTCGCGTCACCGAGTAAACTGCCAATGAGTCCTAAACGACAAATAGGTTCGGAAATATAGGGAAACTCCACATTCTTGATAAATTTCATAAATTGGTATATTTTTGGAGTTTATAGATATAGCGGCACCATTGTAAATTTTA